TCTTTGGTAAATAGGAAGACAGATTTACTAAAATTAGCTCAGGCCCGAGGAGGTGATGATTAGAATTAGAAGGGTAAGTTTCACAGGCTCAAGCAGAAGTACAGCCAGAGGTGATGGCACACAGGCAGCAGAATAGGGATGAGACCAGAGACTTTGTCCATCCTTTACGTGGACGTATGTGGCCTCAAGCCTTCACTTCTTCTCCAGCAGCTGCTTCACTCCTCTCTGTCTTATTTACATGCGGCCTATCGTGCTCTACCCAGTAGTCCTCTTGGTTCCTAAGTTTATGTCGCATAAATGAAACAGAGATTCTGATGACATCAGTTGAGATCGCGGGTTCTCTCTCATCACCTGTGGCTAGTGGGGGGAAGAGAGGACCATGTGGTAGAATGACTGTCCCTTTGGGGCAGTAGAGAGAGGATGACTTCTACAAAAGGCACGTGGAGTAGAAAGTTGAGAGTTTGGCAGGAGAAATGATTGGCATTTCTAACTTATTCTATCTATCAAGGTTGTTGTGGCGATTAAGGGACACTTAGAACATGTGTGAAAGCATTTTATAATCTGTAAAATACTATGTAAATGTCAGGTGGTGGATACCTTCCACAAAACTCTCAAAGGGCTCATCATATCTGTGCTACCCTTTGGAAAGAGTAATCCATCTCATTGCTATTGACTCAGAATGACACAAGACTGGGAAAGCTCCAATGCACTAAGAATGGGAAGATAAATTCAGAACACAGATCACAGGAGGTAGGTACTGTTTTAAAACAAACAAACAAAAATGAAAACAAAAAGAAAACCGTTAAAGCAGTAGGCTCCAAAAGACTTGATAGAATTACAAGTGGATTTTTTCATTTAAACATCACATTTCCTCCCAGTTTTGTCATGTTCTGGTCCCTGACATCAAGGTTGTAGCAGATGGATTTGTACTGCAGGGACCCAAAAGCTAAACTCCATTCTATAAATGTGTGTCAATCTGTTGTCTGAATGTACATTTGCATTTATATTTTGCTTTTCTACGTATTCATAAATCTATCACTCCAAAATGTATTTGAAGAATATCATTTAAATAAATGATAAAAACTTGAAACAATGTTTATCAACATAATATTCAACTGAATTTGTTCTTTTCCGTATTTGTATAATTAGCAAGTTACATTCTTTTCTCCTTCTCTGGCAGGATAATATCTTCCTGCTTTCAGATGGTTATGTGGTGTACGTATCAGATGATTCTTGCCAATAGTCAAGTAAAAAAATATATCACTAGCATTTCTTTCTTCCCTGACATATACCTTATTTTCTTCTCCCTTTAGAATTCTCTGCTTTATTTTTATGATATATAATTTAAGGTATATATTTATTTTTAAGATATGTAATTTTGTGCTGCACTAAAAACAAAACAAAACAATTCTCACCCAATGCTGGTCATTAGCCATTTATACCTTAGCATGAATCTCAGTCAACATGGCTCCTCTTCCAAGGGCATTTGCGTATAAACTTTATAACGGAATAAAAAAGCTTCGGGGCTTCCCTGGTGGCGCAGTGGTTGAGAGCCCGCCTGCCGATGCAGGGGACACGGGTTTGTGCCCCAGTCCGGGAAGATCCCACATGCCGTGGAGCGGCTGGGCCCGTGAGCCATGGCTGCTGAGCCTGCGCATCTGGAGCCTGTGCTCCGCAACGGGAGAGGCCACAACAGTGAGAGGCCCGCGTACCGCAAAAAAAAAAAAAGAAAAAAAAAAGCTTCTTTTTTTTTTTTTTTTTTTTTTAATTGAAATAACCGTATGTGGAGTTCTTTTTGGTTTTTCCTTGTAGAGGAAATAACCCTCCTCTCTGATGCTGGCTACCTTGACCCATACTGAGGTTACTAACCTCAACCAGGGTTAAGCTAGCCCTGTGCATGGGTGTCTTGTATGTACACGCAGAGGCAGGGCAGTGTGAGGAGTGGAGACGTGGCCATTTGTGTGACAGTCCCAAACACGTAGATAGTGTGGGGTGGGCTGGGTGAGGAAGTTATAGGCAACTATGCACATACACCACTGAGAAGCAAAAGGGGTCTTTGGGAGAGAAAAAAATAAGTAACTAAACCTTCCCGCATAACAAATATTGATAAAATGGACCATAGGCAAGCATAAATCTATAACTATAGCACAGACAATGCTTTTTCCCAATGAACTACAACATCAGGTTTTTACCCTAACACATGATAATGCCTTGTATCAATAGTCAAAGATACAATTGTATCAAAAGTCAAATAAGCTTCCAGTCAAGCAACTAAGAAACCATAAATTGTATTTTATAATCATTTGCCTTCAAAACAACTCTCTTATTGGAAATGCATTGTATCTGTACCTCTATCTATGTACATATATGTATAGGTATAGATGTATACATTCTATAAACTATAAAGAAACTTATTATAAAGAAAGTGAAAACATTCCCCAAATCCCATCCTCCAGGTTTAAAGAAAGTTAACATTTTAGAAGTGTAATTTCACTCTACATATACGAGTAGATAAATAGATAAATAGCTCTAAATAATTCAAAGTGACAACTTGTACTATTTTAAAATGAAAAAATATTTTAACATAACTTCACTAGAATGAGGACAACAAAAAAACTGTTGATGTTTCTTCATAAAATATATTAATTCCTAAAAAATAAATAAATCTGCACTTAAAGTTACGCATCTAGTGGCCTCCTGTTCTGAAAAGTTGGGGGCAGGGGGAAAAGCACACATCTAATCCCATAGTTTGGTATTTTTACCTTCTTGCATCTGTAACATTTATACTCTGTTCTACAACTGTAATTCCTAAATTATCTAGTCACAGTCTTACATTTAAATGAATTCACTGCTCAGTACACATCATTGGACCATGGTTTCTTTCTTTCTTTCTTTTTTTCACTCATCTCACTGTTGGTTGGATCGTTTCATTTGTATTCCCGAAGAGGTTGTACGCTTGACATAACTTGCTCAAATTCACTGGGTATAAAATTCATCAGTCATATTTTCACACAGAACTTTCTAAAGAAATATTTTGAGACTGCTTCCTTTCATTAAAGTTGTTTTCGATCTCTCAATATCATGACACTTCCTTTAGGGAATATCACATCCCCTTGACATCTGGGGATCTATGTATTATTTCTTTTCCCTTTTATATTTTGTTCCACATTTATTAGTGCTAGGCTGGCCTGCATCATAATTATGATTTTGGGTATGGGAAGTTCTTTGTTTCATGTTTTTCTATCTATATTCTTTTTTGTTTTTTTTTTTGGTTTGGACTTAGTGACTTTTATGGAAAAGGAATATTTTCAAATTTTCATTACTTTGACATGTTTAAGGAAAATTTTTTAAAACTTGTAGTTACTCACCAGGTCTCTCATGCCCATAGCCTGATGAATATCACATGATGAAATAAGCGTAACTACGCAGATACAGAGAACAGACTGGTGGTTCCCAGAGGCGGGGGTGGGGTGGGGAGGGGTTAAGTGAAATGAGTGAAGGGGGTCAAAAGGTACAAAATTCCAGTTATAAAATAAGTAAATCATGAGGATGTAATATGCAGTATGGTGACTACAGTTAACAATAACGCACTACATATTTGAAAGTTACTAAGAGACGAGATCTTAAAATCCTCATTGCAAGAAAAAAGTTTGTAACTGTGTATAGTGACAGATGTTAACCAGACTTATTGTGGTGATCATTTTGCAATACATACATGTATACACATATGAAATCGTTATGTCGTACACCTGAAACTAATATATTGTTATGTCAATTATACCTCAATTTAAAAAAAAAAAGAGCTCACTGAAAAAAATAAAGCAGCTGATGAATACTACTTTTAAGTCAAAGCTGTATATATATTTAAAATTTATTTCCTCTACCTCTGTCAGTATATCTCTTTCACCAAATTTTTTTTTTTTTTTTTACTGATTAAGGTAGCTTCACACTTGTGTGAATTTCTGTATATATTATTCTACTTTTTCTTTACATGTTTTCGTCTCCCTTTTGATCTTTCGGAATCTCTCTGATATTTTTTTCTCTCTTTTCTGATATTTTTTTCTTTCTTCCCCTCTTCATTTTTCTTCCCCTTTTGGGTTTTCCCCGTTCTCTTTTTTTTCACCTTTGTTTATATTTTTTTCCCTCCCTCCTTTTCCTTCCTTCTTTATTTTTTCACATTTTTTTCCTGAATTGGTTGTGATTTAAGCTTAGTATTTCCTGTTTTACTGAAAAAGAATTATGGTCTTTGTTAGCTGATACATATGTATCCAAGAAAATATTGTTTCTTTCCAAGCTGTCGTTCATTGATATTTATATCAGCATTCCTTTGAAGCAAAAGAGGTTTAAGTTTCTGTTCTTAATCATCTTCTTTTATTCTCTATCAATTGCTGTCTACTTTGAAATCATCATTTACTAATTAATACCATGTCTTTAAAGTCCAAAAGTCAAATTTTAGCTGCAAATGTACACAAATTTTTACATGGCTTTAGTAACAAAGCTAAATTCTGTGTGCTGGGGGATAAATTGCAAAGGGTCCTGTTTTTTCATCCTGCATTTTCAATAGAAACCAAGTGTGTACATTAATAAAAAGGGAAAAAAGCAGTTAATACAAAGTATTCTTTTTTGTGCATGGTACACATATTTGGAACCAATTCTTTTTTAACTTCTTTCTAAATGATTTTCTGATTAACAAGCCTTTCCTTAACTCAGAATTTTTATGTCATTTTGAATTCATTATCATAAGCAACTCCAAAAATCCTTCCTCTTTAATTTGCCGTCTCTTATTTCTAGCCCATTTTTTTCTATATCACTCCACAATACTGGCTACAAAAGAGGTTTATAGTAAGCGTCTATGTCTCTGTTAACAAAAGCGGGGAGAATGATTTTGGGGGCCAGCTAATAGCTGCTGTACAATAAAATATACTTTAGAAATGCAGTTGTAAATATAACACGTTCCCCTTTAATACATTTGTCGACAAATGAAATAAACGTCGCCTTACCCCCTCGCTTGTTGATCTTGGCATAGCCAGGAGAATAGCTCCCAGACATAGAGGATGAGCTGCTGAAAGCTACATGGGGGAGTCCAGACACAAGTGGCTCGTCACATTTTTCTGAAAAGACAAGAGAGAGAGATTCAATAAAGATCTTTAAATATTCATTGGATAAAATGATTTGTTAAAATCATTTGTTAAAATAATCATTGAATATAGTACAAAATTTAAAATCTATCTAGCAAATGATTGGAATTTCGGTAACTCAACTATGATCATTCTATAAGCCACAGGCACAGTTTAAACCACCTTCTGATGCTCCAGAGTTACAACCATGATAGAGTGCTTCATTCTGAGGGGCCTCAACACAGGCCTGCTATCTCAGAATCACGAATAACATTGCGGTTGTTTATTTCCCAAGCTTTGGCATCTCCTAAAAATCTTCAGTTATTTATTCATTATAGGAATTCGGGGTTAGAAACATGGAGACTGAAGGAGGGAAGACCAGGAGGAATAATATCCAAACTAAAAGATCAGGAAAGAGGTGTCAGTCAGAGAAGACAAGATAATCACCAACACGAAAAGCACTGCTGTCTAAAAAAATTAATCAGTTCCCATCATACTTGACTAATCACAACTGCACTGGAACCAGGTGTTCCCTCAATTCTCCTCCTCGCTTGGCTTCTACACTGCCATTAACTTTCTTTCCCTCCTCCTTTACTACTGCTGACTCTCCCATTCCACTTTGATGGACTGTTCTCACCTTCCTAATGTCTAAATGTTAAAGGGCCCAGGACTCAACTCTTGGGGTTCTTTTCAGTCTCCTCTCACTCTCTGGGAGACTGCACCACGGTCCATGTCTTCTCAGACTGGAATATCCCAAGTCCTGCCACCTCATGTCATCTGGTCATCTGGTCCAAGAAGCCATCCGCGATCACTGCTGTGAAAGACTGAATAGCCTTCCTGCTTCCTCCCTTGCTGTAGTCCTTCTTCACACAGTAGCCAAAGGGACAGTTTTAAAAATATAGGTGGGTAAGGTGGCTCCTGCGCTCAAAATATCCCCTGGCTCCTGTTCTCAGTCACTTGGAATGAAGTGCAACGTCTTCCAATGGCCCACAGCGGTCCCTGCACTGATCACATCTTCCAGCATCCTTGTGCTTTGCTGTCCAGTCACCCTTTCCTTCTAACTGCAACAACAGACCTGCTCCTGCCCTGGCCTTCGCTGTTACTCTTCCAGCGACCACAAGCCTCGTCCCTCACCTCCCCCAGGCTCTGCTCAATGTTATCTCTCACAATGCAGACAAGCTTTCCTAGTCCACCCAGCTCCACGAATACCGCACTGCCCTCACTCTCTGTACCCACTTCCAGCTTTATTTTCCTTCACAGCATTCAGAGCCACCTGACACGTTGTGTTTTCACTCATTCCGTTGCTGGGTTGCCTTTCTCTCCCACTCGACTGGAAGCTCTACGGAAATAAAGTTTTTGATAGTTTGCTTAATACTTACTTTCCAGTGATCTGAACAGTACCTGGCACTTGGCACACACCCTCACAACATTTGTAGAAGGAAGGAAGGAAGGGAGGGAGGGAGGGGGGATAAATGAACGAAAAACAAAAGCTAAACCCAACAGACTCAGAGTCTTAAAGCACGATGCTGAAATACAACATGGTGCAACACCTAACTTTTAGAGAGATGGTCTTAAATCCCCAACAAGTGTTTACACGTGTTCAGTATTCTGTTTAATATGATACAGAACTACACTGTATGCTCTAGAATGGCTGCTCTCTCAGATACTCATAAACAGGAAAAAAACCTAGCAGTAGAAGGAATGAACTAGCTTTCTTGAAAAGTCGCTCAAGTGGATTGAAGTCTCCAATGATACTGGGGAAATGAATTATTATTCATTATCTCACCACTCAAGTGTGTACAAAACTGAAGTTAAAATGAACACATCCATCCTTGTAAATCATAGTTAGATTTCTTATTTTTCTTAGTTCTGCTGCAAGTGCCTCTGAAAAATATGCATGTGTGTATGAATATAGTCCCTGGAAAGTTAAATGTAAAAGAATGAAATGATGAACATAAAATTTATTTTAAAAGTATCAATTCACAAAGTAAGAATCCACAGTGAAGGAGTTCATATTAATTGTCTAAAAATTTACTGTTCCGTTTAGATGCCACTGAGCACACATATAAAACCTTGATTTCCTAACTTCTGACTCAGTCTAACTTTGTACAGTCTTTCGATGTAAATTCTGCATTTAACTTTAAGGAGTAATCGTTACTTCAAAAGTTTCCATTATATTAGGAATATGCTAATGTTTTTAGCATATTTTTATTTTATTCATTCATATAAAATAAGAATCTATGACATATAGACACTACTACATACAAAATAAATAACCAATAGCCAACAAGGACCTACTTTATAGCACAGAGAACTATACTCAATATTTTGTAATAACCTATAAGGGAAAAGAATTGGAAAAAGAACATATATATATATTTATTTATGAATCACTTTGCTGAACACCTGAAACTAAGACAACATTGTAAATCAACTATACTTCAATAAAAAATAAAAGAAAAGAAAATAATAAATAAATAAATAAATAAATAAATATGTAAAAAAGAACCTGTGGTGTGTAGGCACAGGAAATGCAGCAGTACATGAAACTGACAACATTCTTGTCCTCATATAATTTATGTTCCAGCAGAAAGTAAAAATAACTAAAACAAAAACAAACAGGTAAAAACATAAAGGTTAATTTATAGTATGAGATGGTGAAAAATACTACAGAGAGACACTGAATATGAAAGAGGGGGCAAGGAGTTTGGGGGGTGGGGTGGAGGTTGAGAGAGTTGCTGTTTTTTGCTGCCTAGTCAAGAAAAGCCCCTTTGATCAGGTGACATCTGAGTAGTAATTTGAAGGAAAAGAGGAAGTGAGCTCTGCTAGAAATCAACAGGATCGTGCCAGGAGAAGCCTTTTCTAGTTTAAACCTGCTCAATAAGGCTAGCTTATACCTGGTAATAAGGAATGACACATTTTCCAAAAGTAAGCATTCAATGCATATATAGTTACATGTTACACACGGAAAGTAATTAAAATGAAGTTGATAAATAATTAAGTGATCCATTAGCTAGTTTAAATTTAGAATTTAAATATAGCAGTCATAAAACCTGAAGATAGTTTATCCTTACTACATTTTTTTTAAAAAATTGACTTCCATAACAAATTAATCATCTTCATACCAAATTAAAATTTTTTCACTGATTTTTAAAACCCACATAAATCAAAATAACAAAATTAGAATAAAACTTGGATCAGGAAAGATAAGAGCATATAAAAGGTTATTTGCTTTTTTTAAAAAAGGTGACTATAAACTTATTATCAGAATTTAAGCATTGGCAACCTCACAATCTTCTAAACTGAGACAAAATCTATAACCATGTAATTAAGAAAAATGCTACATAACTGTATGTTCTCCTGGAAGACTTTAACCACAAATATTTCTTGAGATCTTACTCTATGCTCCGTACTGTTCTAACAAGTTTGGGCAATAAAATCTACCTATGTATCACCTATCTATCTATCTATCTATCTATAATCTATCTACCTCCCATCCCCTCATGAGATGCAATAATATATGGACCCACATAAAGTAATTAAACATGAAACAAGAGAATAATATCACCAGTTTGTAATTCAATGCTGAATAGAATATAACCAAGTACTGAAAGTAACAAATAAATTAAAAATGCAGGGCTGTTTTTTAGGTGACTTCCTTGTCACTAGTTGCTCTGTCCTAAGTGTGTGACCTTGAGTATGCCAGTTAACCCCCTATCTACAGATGACTCACATATAATATGAAGAAATTAGCTAAGTTTCTCACAAGCCCTAAAACCCCCTAGCATTGTCAAGCACAGGAGTCCACAGCTATATCCCACAGGCCAAATCTGGCCCACCGCTTGCTTTTGTAAGTAAAGTTGTGTTGGAGAACAGCCCCACTCACTCATTTATGTATTGTATGCAGCTACATTCACAGGGCAGCACAATGTCACAAAATGAGACTATACGGCCTACACCTATGGGATGCAGCAAAAGCAGTTCTAAGAGGGAAGTTTATAGCAATACAATCATACCTCAAGAAACAAGAAACATGAAACATCTCAAATAAACAACCTAACCTACCACCTAAAGCAATTAGAGAAAGAAAAACAAAAAAAACCCAAAGTTAGCAGACGGAAAGAAGTCATAAACATCAGATCAGGAATAAATGAAAAAGAAATGAAGAAAACAATAGCAAAGATCAATAAAACTAAAAGCTGGTTCTTTGAGAAGATAAACAAAATAGATAAACCATTAGCCAGACTATCAAGAAAAAAAGGGAGAAGACTCAAATCAATAGAATTAGAAATGAAAAAGGAGAAGCAACAACTGACACTGCAGAAATACAAAAGATCATGAGAGATTCCTACAAGCAACTCTATGCCAATAAAATGGACAACCTGGAAGAAATGGACAAATTCATAGAAATGCACAACCTGCCAAGACTGAATCAGAAAGAAATAGAAAATATGAACAGACCAATCATAAGCACTGAAATTGAAACTGTGCTTAAAAATCTTCCAACAAACAAAAGCCCAGGGCCAGATGGCTTCACAGGTGAATTCTATCAAACATTTAGAGAAGAGCTAACACCTATCCTTCTCAAACTCTTCCAAAATATAGCAGAGGGAGGAACACTCCCAAATTCCTTCTACGAGGGCACCATCACCTTGATACCAAAACCAGACAAGGATGTCACAAAGAAAGAAAACTACAGGCCAATATCACTGATGAACATAGATGCAAAAATCCTCAACAAAATACTAGCAGACAGAATCCAACAGCACATTAAAAGGATCATACACCATGACCAAGTGGGGTTTATCCCAGGAATGCAAGGATTCTTCAATATATGCAAATCAATCAATGTGGTACACTATACTAACAAATTGAAGAATAAAAACCATATGATCATCTCATTAGATGCAGAAAAAGCTTTGGACAAAATTCAACAATAATTTATGATAAAAACCCTCCAGAAAGTAGGCACAAAGGAAACTTACCTCAACGTA